ACGAATCATTTTTCTTGCTAGGAAGACCAATTTTTCACGGGTACCTACCATGAAATATAACCTATGTGGGGTCTAGCGTTGTCATGGAGGAGCACAAAGTTCGTCTAGGCCGTTTTTCTCGAACGGCTTCCGCAAGTTTCTGCAGCTGACCAGCGTAATAGGGAGCGGTGACGGTGTGGCCTTGCTTGAGCAGTTCGTAGTACAGCATTCCTTTTGAATCCCAGAAGCAGCAAAGGAGAAACTTGGGTGGAGGTCGGATTTGGCTTGCGTCGGCGGCTGTTCTCCTCGCGGGAGCCAGACGGCGCGGTGCTTGTCGTAGAGGATCCAGCTTTCATCTCCAGTAACTAGGTCCTCCAGAAACTCCTTGCGATGTGGGCGGAGAAGGAGAGACTGACAGATGGTACCGCATGCTATCGGTCAAGACATGAGGTATCCATCGAGTCAGCACTTTTCTGTAACCGAGGGCCTGAAGGCGACCGACGACTGTTGATTGGGCACACCCAAGTCTCGTCGCAAGACTGCGGGTGTTAACTTCCGGATCCTCTCGACGGCGTCGAGAATGACGGAGTCGGCGAGGGGGCGTCCCGACCGAGGCTTGTCTTCGAAGTCCGTGTCTCCTTCCTTGAAGCGAGCGAACCAGCGATGGACCGTAGCGATGGAAGTGGTGTCCTCCCCATACGCTGTTGATGTTGCGAACGGTTGCCGTCGCTCCGGTGCCGCGGCGCCACTCGTAGAAGATGATGTATCGAACATGGTCTCGTGGAATTGACATCGTGATTTAAGCTAAAGGAGGAAGCGCGCCTATATATACCCATTACGGAGAAGGTTCTAGAATGTTCTACCACTACCACATGGTAGATCATTGGTATCGATCAAGAATCGAAAGTTCTGGAACTTTCAAAAACCCTCCAAAACTTTTTGATCAACCTAATTATTCAAAGGCTCTGAAGGAGTCAACAGGTTATATCCTCGCACCTTAGAGATCATTAAAGCACTGGCAATTGTAGGTGAAGCGAGACTTCCAAAGCTTCCCGACGTCACTTATAGCGCACCATTTTCCGGAGAAACGTCATTTCTATCATTGACTTACTGTGTTCTTGTATGTCTGTACATTTTACGTGCGGTTTAACAACTTTTCTGCCGAATAAGTATGCACTTGCCACCAAACTCTTGTGCCCATGGCTTTAAACCTGGTTCTCTTTTCAACTCTGTTACGAGTAATCAGCTTGAAGTCAAACTGTACCAGTGATATATCCAACATTATCTGCTGGTGTGTATGTGCGACATACCTCTGCGCATACTG